GGGGGGGGGGCTTCCCGGCTGCCTCCTCTCGCGTCGCCCTTCTCATGCTTCCCTCCTCCCCCCCTTCGTTCCTTTTCCCTCCCCCCCCTCTCTTCCTCTCCACCTCTCCTTCTCTTGCTCTCTCTCTCTCTTCTCTCTCTCTCTCTCTCGATGTTTCAGATTTCTCTGTCTCTCTCTCTCTCTCTCTCTCTGTCTCTCTTTCTTTCACTCGCGTTGCGAGAGACGCGCTGGACGTTTGACTTCGCCGAGCGAGCTGCCCTTGTGGCCAAGCTGCGAGTCCCCACCCCTCCCTTCGTCTCTCCCCCCCCTGCCTCGTCCAATCCACTCCCCCTAGCTCTCTCGCTGCCCCTGCCCCCTTGCCCCTGCTCCCCGCCCCCCCTGCCTGGCTTCCCCCCGCCCCCTTCCCCTCCCCCTGCCTGTTTGCTGCCGCCCGTGCCGCTCCGCTGCTGCCTGTCCTGTCAGCCGCGCCGCTGCCGCCCGCCCTCCTCCCCTAGGCCTCCCGTTGCCGCCTGCCCGTCTGGCAGGCATTCATCGCGGAGCGAAGCGCTTGTGCGCGTGTAGTTTCCCTCCGCTGGGCGTCTCCTCCTCTCCGCCTCGTCGTCGTCCTCCTCCTCCTCCTCCTCCTCCTCCTCCTCCTCCTCCTCCTCCTCCTCCTCCTCCTCCTCCTCCTCCCCCTCTTTCTCCTCCTCCTTCCTCTCCTCCTCCTCCTCTTCCTCCTCCTTCTCCTCCTCCTCCTCCCCCTCCTCCTCCTCCTCTCCTCCTCACTCCTCCTCCTCTTTCTCCTCCTCCTCCCTCTCCTCCTCCTCCTCCTACCTCCTCCTCCTCCTCCTCCTCCTCCTCCTCCTCCTCCTCTCCTCCTCCGCCTCCTCCTTCCCATCTGCTCCTCTCCTCTTCCTCCTCCTCCTCCTACTCTTCTGCTCCTCCTCCTCCTCCTCCTCCTCCTCCTCCTCCTCCTCCTGCCTATCCGCCGACGCAAAAAAACATGTGTGTGTAGTTTCTCCCTCTTCTCTTTCCCACAGGGGCCGCCCCGTCGGTGCGACATAGGCGCAGCCTCAGCCTCAGCCTCAGCACCTCGCGACTGCCCCCTCGAAGGCGTGCTGCTGTTGATCCCCGACGGGTGGAGATCGGGCTTGTTTGGGTGGCGAGGGCCCGCCCAGCTCGCGCGCTCCCCGGCCCGACCTGACTTGAGGCCTCGCCGCCGCGCGCGTGGCCACGGTGCCAGACACGGGTGTGTGTGTGTGTGTGTTTTGTGCGCGCGTGTGTGTATGTGTGTGTGTGTGTGCGTGTGCGTGCGTGCGTGCGTGCGTGCGTGCGTGCATGTGCGTGCGAGTGTGCGTGTGCGTGTGTGTGTGTGTGTGTTTGTGTGTGTATGTGTGTGTGTGAGAGTTTGTGTGTGTGTGTGTGTCTGTCTGTCTGTCTGTCTGCCTGCCTGCCTGTCTGTCTGTCTGTCTGTCTGTCTGTCTCTCTGTCTGTCTGTCTGTCTGTCTGTCTGTCTGTCTGTCTGTCTGTCTGTCTGTCTGTCTGTCTGTCTGTCTGTCGCGGTGCCTTTTGCCACCTCTCGCCGTCGAGGATCGTGCTCCATACGTCTCCCGTCTGGTCTCTGGGAGCCCCCCTGAAATCTGAGGGCAGGGGCATCCTGTTCACGCCTACACGGGATCCCCGATCGAGCGGCGGTGTTGTGGATCAGACTCTTGCTATGGTTCTGTTGGTGGCCCGTCCGAGCCTAAGTCGGCGAACGGAGGTCCCTGCATGGTTCCCGGAGGCTCAGCAACGTCCGGGAGGAAGCCGAGATCGCTCAACAGCTTCGGCACTCAATCCCCCCCGTCGTTTCCACTGACGCGCAAGCACGCCCCAGAATGGGACACGCATGGCTGCAGGACCACAAAAAGCAAGTTGACGTCCTTGGGCCGATCAACATGTCGTGGGTCGTCCGGCCATGTCCAGCTTGGCGCTGGTGATGGTGGCAGCTGGTCGCTATGAAGAGCGGGGCCCTGAGCGAGAGGCATCTTGCATTTTCCCCCATGGACCGCAATGAACTGACTCGGGATGAAGATGAAACGCAGGTCTCCGTGGAGGCGCCAGCGTCTCCATGGGCCGGTGTTCCTCAGGACCCCTCTCCCTCGTGCCAGGCTGGTCCACCGGTAAGGTGAAGTGAAGCATGGACAAGGTGCCCGCCGACGCAGTTTTTTGCAGAGGGATCGACGCCACTGCTGGTAAGACAGAGAGCGCTGCGACGCGGTGCGAGGCGGCGTGACGAGGGGTCAAGTGAGAGGGACGACAGAACTGTGTGATGAGAATTTCGGTGCGCCGAGGCATACGGTGCCGTATCTGGAGGAGTTCCTTGCGGCACACGCCACGGGCTCAGGGGCATCGCGGCAGGATTCGATGGAGCAAGCTGAGTTCGAATACGAAGTACGACGTATGATACATACGTGTCCGGAGGGACGCGCAGATTCCTTGGGAAGGCTCTGGACCCCGCTCCCCTGGCGCGCGAAGTGCGAAAGCGGTGGCGCTGGAGGCGCCGCTGGAGGGCGGGGTCCAGCGACGACTCAAGAAATTCTCGCCCAGCTCCGACAGATTATTTTTATGCATGCCGCATTTTTTGTCAGTGGATGGTGCACGGTCAGGAACACTTGCTCAGCGTGTCGCGCCGCTGATTCTAGGCCACCGCGCTTCGGCGCGACAGGCGAACTGCGTCCCAGCGCTCGAGCACCAACGCCCCAAGCTTTTTCCGGCCTCTCTCCCCGCGGAGCGGGGCTTCCTGTGGGGTCTCGCATGTTTTCGGGAGCGCGAGCACGTGACGACAGGCCCGTTCTGGGGCGAATCGCGGTGGCAACTGGATGCCTCGACGAGAGCGCCAGGTGATCTGCAGGCCTGCAGGCCTGCTGGCGCGCGTGTCGCTGGGGCCGCCGCCGCGACACGCTGAGCAAAAGTCAGGGGCTGCTTTCTTGGGGGGAGCGGCTCAGGGGCGGTGCGCATCGACCCCCGAGGCGCCCATCCGTCGCCGGTGGCGGCTGGACGGCCCACCCCGCCCAGGAGCGTGCGGTCTTGTTACGCATCGGGGGCCTATCTCGCCGATGGAAAGGGCGAGGCATCGCTGCTTCAAGAGCTCGATGCTCTCCCGCGGAGCCGGCTCCCTGTGGTGGTTTTCGGGTTCCAGAGCTCCGCTCTCCGGCGGCCGTGCGGGCCGAGCTGGCCGCCCCCCCTGGGCGTGCTCGGCGAGGCGCCGCTGCCGGAGAGCAGCCCAGGCCGGGGCACTCCGCCGAGAGCCGGCGATGCCGCCTGCACAGCTCGAGCGCCAGACCCGAGGACCTCGAGCCTGCCCCTCCCCCCTCCCCACGTACCCATCGGTCGTTGAGAGTAAAGTTTCTGGACTCCCAGATTCCAGTCGACCTCAAGCGCCTTGCTACGTCAATAGTCGAGCGGCTTCCCCTGTTCCTTCCTCTTTCGGGGGCAGGCGGGAATCCAATCTACGTTCCACTTCTTCCGACCGATGGGGTCGTGTCTGGGCATCACTCGGGCGTGTGCGTCCGAGCGATGGCAAGATGTCGCTCCCCAAAGAGTTCATGACCGTGCAGTGAACCCGTACAGTAAGGATGAGCGATTTTCCAAGGTTACCCTTGCAGCCTTCCCTTTCGAACCATCCTTGGTCGCTTCCGCTGGCCGCGCCCCGCTCGCAAAGTGTCGACATGGCCCTCCAGGGCCCTTGCATCTGCACCGCGCATCCTTACTCCGGATGGCAGAATGATCGGGGTCGGGGGCGACTGACCTTCCGACGGAGCGCCCCCATCCCCCCCCCACCGCCTCTCAACGCACGTCCAACAGTTTTTTTCTGTTGTCTCTCTCTCTCTCTCTCACACGCGCACACCCCACCTGGCCCAGGAAGTTGAGCTTCAAAACTGCCATCCCCCCCAATCCCCTCCCCATACCCCCCTCGAAGCCAAGGGGGCGGGGCGACTATTGTGTCACCCGGAGTACTACGTGTGCCTTTTCCTGGCGAGGACCCTCGAGGAGCATCCTGGATCGTCTTGCGAATCGAGAGGCACGAGGTCGCCACCTGCACGGGACACGGACGTCCCAGCGGTGGCGAGCACCGTGCACCCCACCTACACGGGTGGGCCCTGCGGCGCAGGCGCGCGGCGCCCGAGGGATCCCAGGCGCGGGATGGGCCAGTACTCCACCACCGCTACCACAGGTACGTAGGACAGGGAAGAAGGGAGGATGGGGATGCCCTCCTGCTCCTCCTCCTCCTCCTGCTCCTCCTCCTGCTGCTGCTCCTCCTCCTCCTCCTCCTCCTGCTGCTGCTCCTCCGACTCTCCTCCTCCATCTCCTACATATGGCAGTGGTGGTGGAAGTTCGGCCCACCCCCGCGGGAGGAGGCAGCGCGTCGCGCGGCTTCCGCCCCGCCGCCGGGCCCCCTCCTCGAGGCATGGGCGCCCCCCGGCGCCAGGAGGCGCCAGGAAAGCCAGCGCTGTGCGTGAGCCGAGTCTCAGCTTCTGCCCTCTGCTGTCCTACCCTCTCGCCCCCTCCCTCACGAGGATGTTCCTAGAGGCCTCGCGCGGCGCATAATTGTTGTATGATCTAGTCCACACGTCGGCTCTGCAAGCTATGTTTCGACGCTCGCGCGGCGATGCTCTGGCGTCAGTCCGACGTGCATCCGACGTAATTCCGACGGTAGCCCGACGTGAACCCCACGCAAATCCGAAGATTCGATGTACATTGGGTCTCAAGTTGCCGCGCGAGGAATCTAGGATTTTCCTCCTAACCTCCCCGCCGAGAAAACGCCCATGACGCAGGCGCTTGGCATCGCTCGGACGTTTGTTTTTTCTTCGGTGGGGACCCTTGCGGAAAACCCTGGATAGTTCTGCGAAAGGAATTGCACGCGCGAGACCGAACACATGCACGGGGAAGGGGCGTCCGGTACCCACATTTTTCTTTATTGCACGGGTTGACCGTGCAACGCAGGCGCGCGGCGCTTGCCCTTTGCTATCCTACCCCCTCGTCCTCCCGTCCCCCCCGACGCTGCCTCCGGGAGTCCTAGAGGAGATTTCGAAAGGACTTCAAAATCGAGCTTTTTAACAAGAGACAACAATATGGTTTCGCAGCACTGATCTCCTCGTGACCTCGTCATGGAGGACCTGGCCTCCGCGGTCGACTTTGTGTGCGCCGTGCCGCGTCGACGTCTCCCGAGGCGTCGCCGCTCCTCGGCCCAGGGGTGGGGCACGGTGCACGGTGAGAAGCCCCTCGGAGCTGAACCAACAAAAAATGCAGCGCACTGCGTAGGAGGAGGAGGAAGAGGAGGAGGAGGAGGAGGAGGAGGAGGAGGAGGAGGAGGAGGAGGAGGAGGAGGAGGAGGAGGAGGAGGAGGAGGAGGAGGAGGGAGGAGGGAGGAGCAGGAGGACTGGGGGAGGAGGCGGAGGAGGAGGAGGTGGGCAGAGCAGGAGGACTGGGAGGCGGAGGCGGCGGAGGAGGAGGAGGAGGAGGAGGAGGAGGGCCAGGAGGGGGGGACGCAGAATGGAGGAGGACGGGGAGGAGGAGGAAGAGGAGGAGGAGGAGGAGGAGGAGGAAAGAGGAGAGCGAGGAGGAGGAGGAGGAGGAGGAGGAGGAGGACGAGGAGCAGGAGGAAAAGGACGAGGAGTAGAAAGAAGAAGGGGAGGGGGACGGGGAGGAGGCGGAGGCGGAGGAGGAGCAGGCCCTCGGTTCGGGCGCTTCCCCGGCGGCGGCAGCGCCGCCTCCCTCAGGCGGCGCGCGCCCTTCCGCGGCGCCCGCGGGGGGAAGTGCCCGGCGACGCAGGGCCCGTGTCGGTCGGGGGCGGAAAAGAGGGGGGTGATGACCAGTTAGGGGGGAGGGTATCATTGGTTGGGCCATGATATTTCCCCCGATTTCATGGCGCCTCTTCTTGCTTCATGACGTCCCTGGCCCCCCCGCTGGGCCGCGCACATGCCGCCGGTCATGATTTACACCCCCCCTCTTGGACACCCCCCTCGTGGCCGCTCCCGAGTCGGGGGTCGGGGGTCGGGGCGTGGCGGCCGCTGCCGGCAGGAGCACCGAGGAGGGGCATCGAGGCTCGAGGAGGATCGAGGAGGACCGAGGGTTATCATGTTGTCCCCGCCTGCTTCCGCCTCGGCCACCAGGAAGAGCCTCGGGCACCAAGGAGCTGCCCGAACTGGCAAGTCTTCGCGTGCCGGGCCCGTTTCGACACCGTTTCGATACCTTTCCGGGTGCTGGAACTTATGTCTGGGATGCGCCACTGAAGCACGACGGGAGCAACAGGAATCGAGGAGGGGGGCAGGGCTAACAGGAGGCGCCGTGCTCGTGTCGCAGGAGCTGCCTCCCTGCCGCAGCCGTGCTCTCCCGCGCGCGCGGGGGCGGGCGGCCTCGCCGCCCTCCCTCCGCCGCCGCTGCGCTGCCGCTCTGCCCGCTGCGCCGAGGCGCGCGGGGACCTGAAGGGCACGGAGGGCCAGCACCTCGCTGCGGGGGGCGCCGCCCGCGGCCGGGGCCTCGGGATCAGGGCAGGAGGAGGAGTAGGAGGGGGAGGGGGAGGAGGAGGAGAGGAGGAGGAGGAGGAGGAGGAGGAGGAGGAGGAGGAGGAGGAGGAGGAGGAGGAGGAGGAGGAGGGGGAAGGGAGGAAGAGGAGGCGGAGGAGGAGGAGAAGAAGGAGGATGAGGAGGATGATGATGATGAGGAGGAGGAGGAGGATGATGATGATGAGGAGGAGGAGGAGGAAGAGGAGGAGGAGGAGGACGACGACGTCAGGGCAGCGTTCGCCAGCTCCTCCCCGAGGGTCGAGGCTCGCAGCTCCTGGGGTGCGGGGCTCTGGAGGTCTCCGCGGACGCTCTTGCGTGGGTGCTCTCGGCCGTTCTCTCTGGCCTCGGGGTGCCTTCCAGCAGCCAGCAGCTGCGCCTCGCCGAGGGCGCTCTGCTGGGGGTGCGCGCACCGCCCCGAGCGGCCGCCTGGGCTCTGATTAGTGGTCTCTGAAGACCCGGGGGCAACGGGCTCGTGGGGGGGGATGCCTCGACCCCCAAGCGCTCTTTTCACATGCACGTGGCACCTTCTCGCATGCAGGTGTCGCCCAATCGTGGTGGCTGCCTCTTCCTTGCTGCAACTCTGGTTCCAGGCGCTCTCCTGAAGCAGTGCAACGACAACCCCCAGTGGCCCATTGATCGCCGATGTGGGGTCTGATGGCCCCACCCCGCCCCGGAACCTGGGGACTCGCTCCCGGGGGGCCGAGGTTCCCTCCCCCCCTGAGCTCTGAGCCGATCCCCCCCCCGATCGTTGCCCCCCACAAGGAGGAGGAGCGGGCGAACGTACAGTCAGGACGTCGCGGCAAGGACCACTGGGCTCGGAAGGGCTGCGGCTTGTCGCGCCCGCTCCTGAGATCTTGGGCGGGGAGCCCATGCGTGGCCAGGGCCCGCTCGACGTGGCCAGAAGCGCCCCTCTCGTTCCTGAGTCGCGGCGGCGAGCGAGGGGGGGCAATGAGAAGGAACAGGCCTTCTCAGAGGGCGGCGGGGCTTCTCAGAAGCTTGCGCGCCTTCTCAGAAGTTGCTTGTGTCTTCGGGGAAGGTTTCGAAAAGCGGTCCAGGGGGATTGTGGGTGGGGGGAGGGAGCGCTACTGACAACTATGGCCAGTTTGGCCTTCAGCGGAGGGGCGTTAGCCCTACTGTGGGCGGCTGATTTTCAGATGATTGGTTTCACACCGTGCGCAGTAGGCGGCCCACTCTCCATCAAGATAGACTAGCCAGTGTACAGTACAAGCTTGCATCTTGCTGCGCCATAAAATATACTGTCGTCGCTTGCTCTAGTATGCTACCTTGCCACGCATCACACCTTTGTAACTCTAAGCCTTGAGTAATTGTGGGTTGGACACCTCACTGCGTCTGCCTCACCACTAATATGGCTGCCTACAATACCTAATAGCGAGACGTTTCTCTAGGACGCACCTGCTTCACAACGTGCAGGCAAGTCTGTTACTGCGTTAATGTGTCTTTGGCTGCATGGTTATTTCGTCCACTCTTGTTCGGTGCTACCCACTCCCGGTATCAGGTCATGTGTAGGGTTGTCCTCCGCTCTCCCTCATCAGATGGTTTTGTTACCCTGTGCACACGTGGGCATCCCTGCTTGACCTTACACAGTTTGCCCTTCCTGATCTACACGTGCCGCCTGCCTATCTAGTGTTCTACATCGCGAACTCGGGATGAATTTTAACAAGAACGCTACAACCCTAGGGTTCAACTTGATGCAACGTCAAAGACAAGGCAGCGGACGAGGATGAGGAGGAGGAGGAGGAGGAAGAGGAGGATGTAATTTCTACCTCCCTCTCCTCGCCTGTCTGTCGGTTTCCCGTACGCACTTCTTAATGCTGCAGGTGACTCGGAGCGGTGCTCCAGGGGTCACCTGGCACCGTTCCTAGGGCCGACAGGCCCTGGGGGGGAGGGCTGCGATCGACGATCTTTTTAGCCATCAGGAATCAGGAGGAAGAGGAGGATAATGAGGGGGAGGAGGACGGGGAGGGAGTTGAGTAGGGTCGGACCGAGGTATAAGATCGAGGTCGTTCGGGGGAGTTCTCGGATGTTCTTCAGTGCGGCCGGCGGAGGGTACTATATCCTTGGAGGATGTTGCTGTGCCCTACGTCTGGCCGTAATCTTGATGGTGATGGTTGTGAGCAGGAGGAGGAAGAGGAAGAGGAGGAGGAGGAGGGAGAGGACGAGGAGGAGGAGGAGGAACACGAAGAGGTCCATATGCGGGATCCATCCTCCGCATTCCCCCGCGCGCGCCACGCGGCGCGCCAGGCGGACTGGCCCGACCCGACCCCTCGGGCCGCGCCGTGGCAGCAGGGCGACTGCCGAGGGCGGCCGCAGGGCGGCTGCCCGCCCTCGTGGCGGCCCCGCGGCCAGCAGAGGGCTGCCGAGGCCCGAGCACTCGGGGCCTCCTGCAGGCCCGCGAGGAGGCTCGCAGGCGCCGCCCCGCGGAGTGCGCGGCCGGGCTCCGCAGGACGGAGGAGGCCCACCTGGCGGACAGGCAGCTCTTCGGTACGGCAGGCAGGGCAGCCGGCACCGCAGCGAGTGTCGCAGGACGGCATCTGGGGCGACCGCCACTGAGGACGATCTTGGCCAGCAGAAACGTGCTGTACGTCGCAAGCCTTGTGCTGTACCTCCCGATAACGTGCCGAACGAGGCCGGATGCCCTCGCTTTTCTCCCCGCGATGATGGCGACCTCCTCCCACCTCCCGTGCCGCCATCTGGGCGCAGAGACGCACAAGCAGTAGACGCGCTGTAGACGTTCAGGCTCGTAGCTGCCGGTATTCGGACTCGTTTTTGCGGCTGATTCGCCTACTTCGGGCCCGACCGATTCGTCGGCAGGCTCCGTGGGCCACCGTTGGTGCACCACTGCGCAGCGGCGAGGCCTCCCGGCCACCCCCCTTGAGTGAGATCAGGGTGTGGTTTACCCCTTCCGCCCCGTCCGTCCTCCTTCTCATCCCCTTTGGCAGATACCGCCACCGGCGTGCCAACGTACCTCTGCAGTAGCTTGTCGGGCGCTCCGCGGCGCTTGTCGGCTGCGGCGGCGGATCAGGGATCGCCGCGTGACGCTGCTAGAGAGAGAGAGAGAGAGAGAGCAACAACAAAACAAGGGAACATAAAGGATGGGGGGAGGCGGAGGGGTTGAGGAGGAATTTGCTATATATATATATATATATATATATGTATATATATATGTATACATCGGAGGTGAGGGGGTGAGATCGACGTGGAACGGAGAGCCCCCCTACCGGGAAATCGGATTCGGTTTCGTGTTCGTGCGTGCCGTGCTTGCGGGCGAGGCGAAGCTGCGTGGGCGGGCGAGAAATACGTCTCTTGTAGCTGAGGCGCAGCCGGACCAAAAGTCTCCGTTCGGGCAACCGGTGCCTCGCGGTGTCCCGCCGGTGTCCCGCTCGGGGGCCGGTGGGGCGCGGTGTCCCGCCGGTGTCCCGCCAATGTCCCGTCGGTGTCCCGATGATGACGATGATGCTGATGATGATGATGGTGATGATGATGATGATGATGATGAAGTTGATGATGTTGACGATGATGATGATGGTGATGGTGGTGATGATGATGGTGTCCCGATGATTGTGATGGTGATGTTGACGATGTGGGTGATCATGATGGTGGTGATGGTGTTGATGATGATGGTGCCACGATGATGATGTTGATGATGATGTTGCTGATGGTGATGGTGCCCCGGTGATGATGATGATGATCCGGATGATGTTGATGATGATCAGATGAGTTTTATGATGATAAATATGAGGATGATGATGATGATGATAGTGTCCCGATGATGATGATGCTGATGATGTAAATGATGGTGATGATGATGAAGGTGTCCCGATGATGATGATGATAATTATGAGGATTATGACGATGATGGTGTCCCGATGGTGATGATGATGTTGATGATGCGGATGATGATGGGGTGACGCTGATGATGTTGATGATGGTGGCCCAATGATGGTGATGATGATGTTGATGTTGATGATGGTGATGGTGTCCAGATGAGGTCGATGGTGCTGATGTTGTTGATGATGATGGTGATGATGATGATGATGGTGTTCCGACGATGATGATGACGTTGGTGATGATGAATTTGCTAAGTATGATGATGGTCCCCCGGTGATGACGATGACGTTGTGCATGATCATGATGATGATATGATGCTGGTAATGTTTCGATGATGATGATGGTGGTGACGATGATTGTGTCCCGGTAATGATGAGGATGGTGGTGATGATGTGGGTGATGATGGTGGTGAGGTGATGATGATGATGATGGTGCTCCGATGGTGATGATGATTTTGATGGCGTTGGTGACGATGATGTTGTTGATGATGATGACGTTGGTTGTGATATCGATTGTGGTATCGATAATGAGATCGACAATTCGACCGAATGTGAGACCGATTGTGAGATCGGTAGTGATCTATACTTATATATATATATGTATATATATATATCTATATACATATCGATAGTGACATCGGTTGTGAGATCGATAGTTAGTCATATCGATTGCGAGGTCGATCGAATGAAATAGATCGAGTGAGATCGATTGTGAAATCGATCAAGTGAGATCGATCGAGCGAGGCCGATCGTGATACCGATAGTGAGATCGATCGTGGGACCGATCGAGTGAAACGTTGGTTCCTCCCCCCCGAACCTCCTTATCGCCCGAAGGATGGTCGTATAGGTATTTATATGTATACAGATACATCGATCCATGGCCAATGCCCAGGTGGACGAATGCCTGGAAGAGGGCCGAGGAACAGTCAGAGGAACAAAGGAGGTGGAGCAGTGCAAAGTGAGGCAAGGCGAGGTGACGCAATTAGAATATAGTCTGTGGCCGCTTGCAACTTCGAGGAGGCAGTGGGAGAGATACTGCTGACATGACAAGAGCAGGAGCAGATGGATAGAGGATTCAACACCATGCTTCCTTTAGGAGCAAGAAACTCTCCAGACTCGGAAGGGACCCCTGGGCTCCTTTGTGGTGTTGCGCTTTGTCCTTCGGCTCTCCCTCGTACTCATCGACACTGCCGATTGAGTATTACATGCAAGTCGGGGACAGGTTTCTTTGTTTGAGGTTCCTGGTATCAAGTCTTTAGACTGCTGTGGCGGCGTTCATCAGGCGTGTGATCGCAGGCAGGCGTGGGCATCGCGTGCCTTTGACGCGCGCAGGTCGGATTCAGGAATTCCTGACGCATCGCGTATCCCCACCGACCTGGATGTCTCGCGTGGTTTATCCTACGTTTAGTCCTCGCCCTCAGCGGCCACGTGTCAGCTCGCTGTCTGTGTCCCTGCCGCTCCTCAATTCGTGCATCGGCTCTGCCCCCGGATCCTGGTCCTGGTTGCATTTTGCATCGCCCGCCGGCAGGCGTCGGGCTCGTGCCCCGCTTCCTGGCACCACCTCGCGCCGCCCGGCAGCTTAGGCAGCTTAGGCAGCTTAGGTTCGGCCGTCGGTCCCCGTGCGCTAGGCAATTAGGCTCGCGCGTAGCCCGCCCGACCTGTTCGGACGCCGCCTGCGTTTCCGCTTGCGGTTGCGACGAAAAAAATATCCCCACCAACCCATCCAGAAACTATTGCCATGCACTTGGATCTTTCGCTCCGCGACCACCCTGGAAGTTTTTGCGAAACCCCATGGGGACATATTGGCCCCATTTCGCAGGCAGGCCTAGACCCTGCGTGCCCATGGCGCGTGCTGGTCGGATCCAGGAATTATTTGCCGTCAGGTCTCCTGCCTGGGGCTTCGGCCAGGGCTGGCTAGGCGTTCCTTCAGGCACGAACGCGACCAAACAAGAAAATTCGGTTTCGATTGTTCGAGGACGACCACGGGGAGAGGCAGCACTGGGAGGAGGTGCCGTGGCGGAGGATGCGGACGAGGTCGCCGTTCCTGTCGCAGCATTTGTCGACTCCCAGAGTCCGCTTCTATCTGACTGATCCGATTCGACATCGGTTCTGGCCAGCCTCATCCGACTCGGTTCCGGCTGTAGCACTGTTCATTGAACGCTGTTGTGTTTTCGACCAACTTGGATACAATTTCTTTATTGCTTGGGGCATGACGGGCGTCATGGCCCCCGCCGCACGCCCGCCCCCTATGACGTAACGCTCCCCCCCCCCAGTGCGCTCTGGGCACTACCGCCGTGCATATTGGGATCCGAGTAGGCGTCCGCGTAGAAATCCGCATAGAAATCTGGTCCGCAGTCGTCGTCGTCGACGTCGTCGTCGTCGTTGTCGTCGTCGCTCGTGCCTCGTCGTTCGTCGCTCATCGTCGTCGTGCGCGCGGACGCGGCTGGAGCGTGTTTATTATTATTATTGTTATTATTATTATTAGTATTATTATTTGTATTATTGGTATTATTATTCGTATCATTATTATTATTATTATTATTAGTATAATTAGTCTTATTATTAGTATTATTATCATTATTATTATTATTGGTATTATTATTATTATTATTATTATTATTATTAGTATTGTTATTAATATTATTATTGTTATCCGGGCCGGTGACGCCAATCATATGGGTGGGGGAGGGGGTCGATTACGTCACGCTTCGCGCCAACGGCACTTGGGAATGCTTAGGAATGACGGAGGGCGGGTGGCACCAGCCTGTAAGTGGCGATCTGCACCACAACGCCTGAGTATGTTTCAGTGCCTGCGTGCACCACAGCGCCTGTATACACCACGCCGCTTATGTACACCACAGCAGCCGCGTGCAACACAGCGTCAGTTTGTGCCACCGCGCGCGCGGGCACAACAGCTTTTGTGTACACCGCAGCGCCTGCGTACACCACATCAGCCGTGTGCAGCACAGCAGTGTACACCAAAATGCCTGCGTGCATTGCAGTGCCTGTGTACACCACAGCGTTTGTGTGCACCACAGCGACCGTATGCAACACAAGACACCACTGTTGTATGTAGAGTGTCAGATGACATCACTATGACAAAATAGAGCGCTTGTGGATTTCACCGAACACCAGAAACGAATCGCCATGGACAAGTGAACGCCAGGGGAATCTACGAGTCCTTCCGAGTTCGCCCGCATCACCGTAACTCCTCCCATGTGCGTCCAGGAGGCTCCAGCTAAATTGGCCGTCCGATAACCACGTGGGCCGATTCAATAGACCATTCTGCGGTGCACGCTGTAGCGCCAACCCGCACGACACGGGGTAAGGAGGAGGAGGAGGAGGAGGAGGAGGAGGAGGAGCAGGAGGAGGAGGAGGAGGAGGAGGAGGAGGAAGAGAAAAAGGAGGAGGAGGAGGAGGAGGAGGAGGTGGAAGTGGAGGATAAGGGAAGAGGGAAAAACGTCGCATTCGATTCTCAGCACTTTCCCGGCGTGGCGCTTCCGCAGCAGATCCTCACGTACAGGCTCCTTCTACCTGTCCTATGCACGCAGGCACTGTGGTGTACAATATCGCTGCGTTGCACGCGGATGCTGTGGTGTAGACAGGCGCTGTGGCGTGCACAGGCGCCGCGGTGCACGCAAGCATTGTGGGGTACACAGGCGCTGTGTTGCACATGGTTGCCTCCGGTGTGCACATGTACACCGGCGCTGTAGTGTACGCAAGCATTGCAGTGTACACAGGCGCTGCGTTGCACACGGTTGTTGCGATGAACGCAGGCGTTGTGGTTTACACGCGCGCTGTGGTGCACGCGAGCGTTGTGGTGTACACAGGCGCAGAGGGGGCAGATCGCCACCTACATGCTGCTCGCGTCGTCGTCGTCGTCGTCGTCGCTTGTCGTTCGTCGCGTCGTGTGCGCGGGCGCGGCTGTGGTGCCGGAGCCACACGGCAGGGGGGGGGGGGGGGCGTTACGTCATATTCCCCCCCCATGACGCCCGTCATCGCCGAACAAAGAAACCCTCTCTTGCAAGGTGGGCATCTCTCCCATTCGGTCGAAATGCATTTCAGCTTTGGCCTCGGCCTCAGCGGCGGGAGCAGCGTCAATCGCCTCAACGTGGGTCTACAAACTTTGACCGCCTTCCCTCTACCCACCAAACCACCCCAACTCAACACGAAGGTCTGAATTTACCCTCCCTTTCCAGTGGGGGGGGGGTCGGGGAACATTGAAAAAACACATATGAAACCCGTACCCCCCCCCCACTCCGAAATTCGGGTCTTCGTGTTGGGCTGGGGGTGGTCTGGCAGGAAATTCCCTCTCACCCGAGGCCGGAGCCGGAGCAGGAGCCGACCCAGCCCGCTGCGCCAGCGCCAGCAGTCCTCCGCCTCGGGCGGCAGCCGCAGCCAAGGCGCCGCAGCCTCGGGCGGGCGCCGCCGCCTCGCGCCGCCTGCCGGGCCTTTCTTGCTGTTTCGCCGATCCGGGGAGCCTCCTTTTTCCTTCCTCCTTCTCCTCCTCCTCCTCCTCCTCCTCCTCCTCCTCCTCCTCCTCGCATCCGATCCTCCTCCTCCTTGCTGTTCCGCCGATCCGTGGGGGGCCCAGGCCAAGAAACACCAAGGAACACGCTGCTACAGCTGCGCGCCGCATCGCGCAGCTGCCAAAGGTGCCCGACTGCGCCGGGCGCCGCCCCGGGCGCCTGCGGCTGCGCATGTCGTCCGAGCGCGCTTGCAAAGAAAGCCCTGTGTTTCTTGGGCTCCGATGGTCTTGCCATGGAGAGCGGGACGTTCCCACGCCAAGAAGTCCATGGGCGTCCTGGGGTCTCACGGTTCGGTTTCTTGTGGGGGGTTTCTTGTAGACGGGCCTCCACTGTGTCCGTGGGCCGAGCCCCTTGGGCCGCGGCCCCGTGGACACGAGGCGTTCTTTTGGCGCGGGTGCCCCGCTCAGAACGCATCCGTGCGACCGCGCATGCATGGGATCGCGCCCCAGGATCCAGGCCGCGAGGGCGTGAATGTGGATATACGCGCGCCGCCCGGCCCAAGAGGGATCCGGCAAGGCCCTCAGGGAGCTCCCCAACACGCCCCAAGAGAGCCTCAAAGGGGCCCTCCAGATGCCCTGCTAGTTACACGATTCCAGCCTTTTCATCTTGCCTTCCTCCAGATCCCATGGCCGCCAGCCTCCATCACCCGTTCCGCGCCGCGTCAGCTTCCTTGGTCGTATTAGGCCCTATTGTCCTGTCGCGGGCCGACGGGCCTTCCTGTGCCAAGTTTGCATCACCACCGCCCTGGAAATTATTCGATTGCCCCTTTGAGGCTCTCTTGCGCCGATCTTGTCGATTGGCAGCGTTGTTTTTGGGCAGTCTTCGCGGGAGACGGCGCACTGGCCGCGGTCTTCGCGGGCCCGCGAGCGCCCAGGGTCGCATTCACCAGAGGTAGTTTTGGCTTTGGCAAAGGGGACTCTGTCCACTCCTGGCTTCCCCAGCCCCGTGAGCCAGGACGATGTCATGGTGCCCGGCCCCAATCAGCCCAAAAAGGTGTGTGTCTGTGTGCGTGCGTGCGACCGATACATACATATGTCAACCGGCGCGTTCCACTACTCGCAGAGTGCCTACCCGCGAACGCCCGAATCAAGATGTCTTTCTATCTGTAATGTATCGTGCCCCCCCCGCCGCGGATCCAGTAGTAGTGGAATTCGCTTGTCCAATGCGACCGACCACGCACCCGAAATTGTGACCGAAAACGCACTGCGAATGTACGAGTGACCGAAGCTTAAAATCGTTCTCGCTTCGAGCTAAGCAGTTCGATCGCACTTGGGCACGGCGCGATGGGACAACTTCCGGTGCCGGTTTCGGTCTTATTCGGTCAGATGTTCGTGCACAGTTTCGGTCGAGACGGTAAGTTCATGCGGCGGTGGCGCGTCGGCGACGCCGGCGGGGACGTTCATGGTTTAATTCCGCATGATAGAACGGCGCGGAAGCACTTGGGCACGGTATTGCCACATGACCCGACGTCGTCGCGATCGATTCAAGGTTGAACGACCGACGCGGGGTTAGAAACCTCGGCGCGCGCCGACGCCGCACGAACCTACCATACGCCCCCCTGACCCCTGACGGAGACGAGACTACGTGGGGCGTTCCAAAAAGGGTCTTGCCTTCGAGGATGCCATCTGTTCCGCGGCGGAACGCGGCGGAAATGCGGCGGAAGGTCGATGGAAGTAAAACGAGGCCGCCTCCGCCAGCGGAAGTCGTCGGAAGCTCGGCGGAAGGGCGGCGGAAGTACAAGGTGTGCCCGCAAGAGATGAAAACGTTTTTGGGGTTGAGGGGTTCCGAAATCGTCCACGTGAGATCCGTGTGCACTCCCCCGCCCCACGTCCCACCCGATCCGGCGGGGACGGCGGCGGAGTGGATGGCGAGGGGCTCTTCTTGGCAGGCCGGGGGCGCGGCGAACAGCCGGAGGTGAACGCACTGGGCCTTTGCAGGCCAATGCAGCGAGAAGCAGTGGCTGTTAGATTGCTCATGTTTTTGTACTGCCCGCGGGCCAAAAAAATAAAAGCACTGGGCCTCTCCGGAGGGGTCCCGCGGCTCGCGGTCCGCGATCTTTGGGGGGGCGGCGGCTCGCCTTCCGTGGTCGGAGGCCTGCCTCGGTGGTCCGTGCACGGGCATTGCCGCTCCTTCCGCCAGGGGGGGTAACTGTGCGGTCGTGATTCATGGTCTTTGGGCCACAGCCCATGATGATGATGATGCTGATGATGATGATGATGATGATGCTGCTGTAGATTCTGATTAATTATGATGGTGATGATGAAGCCGATGATGATGCTGGTCATCATGATTGTGATGATGTTGATGACGATGATGAGGAAGATGCTGCTGATGATCGTGATGATGATTGTTATTCGTAGTGGTATTGCTGTTCTTGGTGTCATGATCGTTATCAACATCATTATCATCACCGTCATCTTTATCATCATTACTGATCGTATTATTCTTGTTTTTCGTATCACTATTATTGTGGCCTTGACTCGAGTGTCGTCGGCCGTCGTTCGTCGTTCATGACTCGGTGGCCCGCGGTTCACTGCTCGGGGCTCTTGGTCCGGGGTCCGGGTGGCTTGTGATTCACGCTCCGTGCCTCGGTAGCCCGCGGCTCGTGATTCGGTGGTCCGCCCCGGCGCCCCGCGGTCCTGGTCCGGGGGGTCGGCGGGCCGTGGCTCGTGCTCCCTGCTTGGCGGCGCGCGGCGCGGCTCGTGGCTCGTGGCTCGTCGAGTGGCTCGCGGCTCGTGGCGTGGGTCTCGGTCTCTTCTTCGTCGTGACCTGGTGTGGTATCCGCCGGTCAGGGGCAGAGGTCTGTTGCGGGGTTCGCTGCTCGCGGTCCGCGGCCCTTTGGAGCTCTCAGGAGGCGCGCGGGCTTCAGATCAGCCCCGCCGCCTTTTTTGAGAAGGCCTCCCGTAGGGCCGGCCGCGGGGCGTCTACGACGGCAGCTCCTGGGAGCCTCGACCCTTTTGATCCTCGCTCCTCGATCCTCCTCCTCGGCACCCGTTCCTCCTAGATCCGCGATACACCTGGATCCTCGAGCCTCCTCGATCCTCGATCCTCCCGGATCCCCGAGCCTCCTCCCCCTCCCCCTCGAGCCTCCAAAATCCTCCTGAGTCCTCCTCCTCCTCCTCCTCCTCCCCCTCCCCCTCCCCCTCGTCCTCCTCCTCCTCCTCCTCCTCCTCCTCCTCCTCCTCCTCCTCCTCTTCCTCCTCTCCCTCCTCCTCCTCCTCCTCCTCCTCCTCCTCCTCCTCCTCCTCACCCTGGAGCGTCGATCCCCCTAGGCTCTCACTCCCCCCCCACCCTCTCTTCTTGGACCCCCGCTGGGGCCCCCTGGCGGCGCCTCCAGCACCGCCCCTGGCGCGCTCCGCGCGCCAGGGAGGAGGGCCCAGCGAAGATCCGAGAAATCCGCACTCAGCGCCTCAAGTTTGTGTTTGTGGCGTTTTTTTCTCTTCTATCTCTCGTTCCACCTGGGTCCTAACTCCCTCCCCCTCCTCCTCCTCCTCCTCCTCCTCCTCCTCCTCCTCCTCCTCCTCCTCCTCCTCGCCCTCCCTCCCCGCGCTCCGGGCCCCCCCCCCGCCCGGGTTAGCCAAAACGCAGGCCGGCGCCGGCGGCGGAAGAAGCACCGCCGGGAGGGCGGGCGCCGCAGGCGGCGCCTGCTGCGGGCAGGGCTGCGGGTGGTGGTGGGCAGATATGTTCCACCACCACTGCAATGTATGCAGGACGGGGGGAGAAAGGAGGATGATGAGGTCCTCCTCCTCCTCCTCCTCCTCCTCCTCCTCCTCCTCCTCCTCTCCTCCTCCTCTTCCTCCTCTCCCCTCCTCCTCCCTCCCTCCTTCTCCTCCTCCTTCATCTCCTCCTCCTCCTCTTCTCCTCCTCCTCCTCCTCCTCCTCCTCCTCCTCCCTCCTCCTCCTCATCCTCCTCCTCCTCCTCCTCCTCCTCCTCCTCCCCCTCCTCCTCCTCCTCCGTCTCCTGCCTATGGTAGTGGTGGTGGAAAGTGGGCCGTCACTACGGGGTTGGGCTCCGGGGCTTCTTTCGGTTTCTCCGGGTCGATTCGGTTCGATACCAGTTTCGAGTTTTCGGCTCGATTCGGTTCGATACCAGTTTCGAGTTTCCAGGTCGAGTTCGATTCGAGTTTTCGGCTCGATTCGACTTCGGATTCGATGTCTCTCCGATTCGGCTCGATTCGGTGTGTCGATGGCTGCGGTTTCCGATTCGGTTCGACCTCGGACTCCGATGTAGATTCCGATTTCTCCGCGGAAGCCTATCAGCATTCAATTTCGATTGCTTCCGATTCCGATCCGATTCGATCTCGGATTCCGATTTGGAGTCCGATGGCTCAATATGGAGGCCCACCAACGCCTGCCGAAGTTTCCGCCGGTTCGACTTCTCCCGACTCGGCCGCCGAATGCCGCCGAGCCGGGGTCGATCGCCGATCCGACTTCTGAACTCGATGCCAGCCGGGCTGGTTTGTCGGGCGGGCTTGAGTCCGGCTCCGGGCCTCCCCGACGGGATACCAGTGGATGCCAAGGTGGGTTCTGTCCGGCCTGGCCCAGCTCAGAAGAAGGCGGCGCGTGCCCCAGGAGGCGTAAGGGCGTACAGATCTACGGAGGCCTAGATGTTGACACCAACACCAATATCGGCGGTGTGTTTCCACCGAGGGACGATGATCCCGATCTAGGTGATGGTGGTAAGATTCGGGCTTTCTAGGTAGCCGAAAGATTTCCACCAACACCAAAATCCAGGATCATTTTCCGCCCGTGGAGGCAACCCCTGATGTTGGTGTTGGTGCCCATCTCCAAGCTTCCAAGATCTGGGCGAAGTGGGCGGGGCCGACTTCGCGGAGTTGCCTCATCATCCTAAGCCACACAGGGCTCTGGCAACCCACTTCTAAAGTGGGCTCGGCGGCCAGCCCATTTCAGCATCCACGTCTAACCCCCCCTATCCCCTTTGCAACCACCGCGGCGATCCGACGAGGACCTGGGCCCCCATCATGGCGTTGTGAAGCAATCGTGGCGGGAGTTTCTGTCACTGTTTTGTTCGGTCCACTTTAGCATCCACTTTTAACTTCTAACCCCCCCCCCTATCCCCTTAGCAACCACCGCGGCAATCCAAGGACCCGGACCCCCATCGCGGCGGGAAAAAACGCGACCGGAGTTTTTGTCACTATTATCGTCGGCCCTCAGGGGCTCCCCCACCGGGCCCCAGGAGCGTCAGCAGACGATTCAGAAGGAAAGAGCCGGTTCCGGGGAAGGCGTCCAGACTTTCTGTTAACGGGCGAAGAGCGGTACAACATGCATTTTTTCTTGTCGGGGGCGCCTGCTCCTGGGTGGCTGGAGAGTTTATACCCCAACGGTGGCAACGTAGGCGTATAAACGTTTCATCCGCCCAGGGGCAGGCGTCCCCGACGGCGGAAAAGTTTATTTTATCCGTTCTTCGTCCGCTGATTCTGGGGGGTCGACGTTGCGAACAACATCCCGACGTCGGGTGTCTGGGTTGTGGGGTCGGACGATTGCGCTGCGGCGATGTCACCCGATGTGGGGCCTCATGTGCTCCACGCCGGCGGCGCCGATGCATCGTCGACGTCGCCGATGCATCGCCCATGCATCGGTGATGCATTAACGATGCGGCGTGACCCTCCGACCCCATCGACTCGGACCCCAGATGGGAGGCCTCTACCGAAGGCTACGTCTCGGAATCCCTGGCGGCTCGGAGAGTGCTCGGTTGTTGTTTCGTGGAAGCCTTCGGTGTTTCGAGGCCGTTTCCTTGGTCCCAGGGCGTCGACCAAGGCAGATCCCAGGTGAACAGTTGGCTTTGTCTTTGTGGATGGGGTCAAATCAAGAGCTCCAGGGACAGCGACTCGAGTGAATCGAGCCTTCGGAGGTCTAGGTTCCAAAAGTTCTCAGCGTTTTCAGGTTTCTTGAGCGATCCTCACATGTCTTCGCGTGCTTTCGCAGGTCCTCGGCAGGTTTGGGACGTTTTGGAAACTCTTCCTGTGATCCCGCTGATCCTCGAAGACTTTTCGACGGTTCCCCTGAGGCTTACGGAACAAGTTCTGGAGGTATTTTGTGTCCTCAGATGCGTTTCAACGTTCTAACGGTGTCTGCGATGCTGCTTAGGAGAAGGGCGGTGGAGAAGGAGGACGAAAGGAGGGGGAGAAGGGGGAGAAGTCGATGAGGAGACCGAGGAGGTAGGAGGTAGGAGGAGGAAGAGGAGGAGGAGGAGGAGGAGGATTAGGATAGAGGTGAGGAGTGCGTTTCGTGTGGCCATTCTACAACCAAGCGCAAGAGTACAGACCGACATGGGGCTCCGGAGCTCGAGCCTCGAAAGAGAGAGAGAGAGAGAGAGCGAGAGAACCCAGCAGCAACAGAGCCCCATCACTGCCATGGCTGCTGCCCTACATCCGCTGGCGAGATCGATAGCCGCCCTACATATGTAGAGAGGGGAGAGAGAGAGAGAGAGGTAGAGAGAGAGAGAGATAGGTAAAGAGAGAGGTAGAGAGAGAGAGAGAGCACAGCTGTCGATCCGTCGGCCCCCTTTCTTCAGAGGAGCAAGCTGTCATGAGAATGACGCGTTCCACGAATTCCCGGACTTCCCAGATGTCCTCCTGTTCCATACGAGTTGCAGAAATCAGTGTGGCTGGATACTCCAGGAATCCAGGATCGTATCCTAAGCCACTGGATGCATCTTCCGAGATACTCCTAGATACTCCAGATATCGTGGAGCGCATCCTGACACCATTACCATCCAAGTGGTGCCGCGCCCAATGGATTGTCCAGTATGCATGTACTTGAGCCCCTCGGCCGGGCATTGCAACATTGTTCGCGTCGGGGAGGGCTTGGTTCTGAGACGAAGAGGAGCAGGCACCGACACCGCCGCTCGTCCTGGAGAGCCCTCATCGTCACGGCCAGGTTCTCCTGGAGAGTGCACCCTGGCAGAGGTGCAGAGCGTAATTAACGGTTTCGGTGTATGTTTGTTTCTTTAGGTTGGTCCTGGTCCAAGTGCGGTTGCTGCGGGTGGGCAGAGCACCATTCGGCCCTCCCCAAGAGGGACAGCAAGTGCTGGTGCGGCCGTCAGGTCAGGCTGCACGAACCGAAGGGTCCAGAGGAGGACAAAGAGGCCAACCAGCTGCGCCACCCTCCCTGAAAGTACATATGAAAGATTCGCCGGAGGGTGTCTGTGTGTACATATATCATATATATATATATATATATACATGTGTATGTATATATATATATACATATATGTTTGCGGCGTGGGGTCGGCGGCGAAGTCCGAACCCTGCCCTCGCCGATCCACGATTCGGGCAACCAACGAGGGCGGCGGAGGCAGGGTTCGGACTTCATCGGCCACGTGGCGAACGCGCCGAGCCCTCCCCCCGCCTCCAACCGATTCG